TTATTTAATATATTTAATAATGTTATTTATTTAATATATTATTATTTAATATATTTAATAATATTATTTATTTAATATATTTAATAATGTTATTTATTTAATATATTATTATTTAATATATTTAATAATGTTATTTATTTAATATATTATTATTTAATATATTTAATAATATTATTATTTAATATATTTAATAATATTATTTATTTAATATATTTAATATATTATTATTTAATATATTATTACATGTTTTTAAAAATTAAACCACCAAACACAGTTTCAGTTTTTTTTAAAACTGAAATCAATCTCTAAATAAAACTACCAAACGCATTTTTAGAAATAATTTAAAAATGAAACTAAAAACGTTTTCATTTTCATTTTCGTACAGAAAATAAAAACATTTTGGAACCAATTCCAAACGCACCCAATAATTTCATTCTTATAAACTGTTACGCATTTTTTTTTTTTTAATATGTATATATCAGCTTCGGGAAAAAAAAAAAAAGGACGAAGAAGAAGAAGAGGAGAAAAGAATTAAAACGACAACGCAAAGGTGTCGTGAGTCTAACCTCAACGTGTTGTAGTCTTGTCGTAACCTCCGACAATGGCTTACCATGTTGTCCTTTCTTTGTTTCAGTGTTTCGGTTGCTTTGCGTCGCGTCCCGGTAGACGTGTTGCCATACAAAAGAGACATATATATAATTCTAGAGAGAGAGAGAGAGAGAAGGGGCTTTTGTTGGGGGGTTTTTCTTGAGTCCGAAACTGGAAGAAAAAAAAGTCGAATTTTCAGAAATCCAAAACAGAATACCATTTGCATATTTGAACCTCTTTTATCTGTTAATTGAGGTACAAACAATTGGATATCGCCAACCATGAGAGATGTCCAGCACCAGCACCATGTCTGTTCTGTACCGAGTCCAAACGGTGTCGTTTCCAGTGAAGAACGCGTGTGCCCATTGCCGTCATCATCGCCATTGCCAACGTCGAGCCCTGAACCAGCTTTCATCAGCGATGAATCTTGGGATACAGCGGAGACGACGATCCAAGAGATAGTTTTCACGATTCAGCCCACTCTAATGGCGGACCAGAAAAGACAGGACATTGTTGAATATGTACAGAGACTTATTGGATATTGCACTGGATGTGAGGTAATTTTTTATAAAAAAAAAATCTCTCTTTAGTTCTTGTGCTTGAATTCTTGAAGTGGGTTTTTGTTTCTCTTTTTCATTTTTTTTTGTTTTTTTGTTTTGTTTTTGTTCTAGTCCTTTTTAATGTTTCATGGGCTATTAGTACTGTGCTAACTTTATACCTTAAAGGACTTGAATTATGCACCAGACAGTCTTGTACTTTCTGGAATGATTGGATTCTTTCAAATTCTTGAAGTCTTAAATTTCGAGTTTTTTTTTTCTTTTTGGGCTAAAATTCTTACAGGTTTTCCCTTATGGGTCAGTTCCATTAAGAACCTATCTTCCTGATGGAGACATTGATTTGAGTGTCTTTACCTTTGCAAATGCTGACGATGGCTTGGTTTCTGATGTGTATAATGTTCTGAGAGGAGAAGAGCACAATGAAGCTTCTCATTACAATGTGAAGGACGTCCATTGCATTCATGCTGAGGTTCTTCATAGTTCCCTCTGATGCTTTACTTTGGAACTTCAATTTCTTCAGTTCCAATTATTTTCAATTCTACATATCATTTCAGTTGCCATGTTTCATGTATGTATGCCCTTATAAATCCTGCATCTTCCCTAAAGAGAAAAAAAAAAAAAAAAAATTTCAAATGACTTTCTTGGATAATATTTTTTTCTTAGAATATTACAGGTTTTCAAGGCAATAAGTAGTTAAAAAGATAGTTCCATATCTTAACTGATTTGTGGCAGAAGTACTGAATTCAACTCGGTTTAAAGTCTTGGGGTTTATGGTGGCAGGTTAAGCTGGTGAAGTGCATTGTAGAGGACATAGTTGTAGATATATCCTTCAATCAGTTAGGAGGACTTGGTACTCTGTGTTTCCTTGAACAGGTCTGATTTCTAACTTATTTATTCCATGACCCTTTTTCACTATGTTACACTCCCCTGGTTTTATTGATTTATTCATTTATTTTTCTTGTACTTATTGATGCTTACCTTTGTTACTATATTATCCAAATACGTTTGATGACTCTACTCTTGTTCTGGCTCATATATGAACAGTAAGGATAGAGTTGAAGGGTTCACCCTAACAATAACCCTATTATAATGCACCGTGCAGGTTGATCGCCTCACTGGCAAAGATCATCTTTTCAAACGCAGCATCATTCTTATAAAAGCATGGTGCTACTACGAGAGTCGTATTCTCGGTGCCCACCATGGTTTGATTTCAACCTATGCTCTGGAGACATTAGTCCTCTACATCTTCCATCGGTTTCATACTTCTCTCAAAGGCCCTTTATGTGTATGTGGCATGTGCTCTTAAAAATCAGCTTTTATTTGTGCCAAACTATTGTGTAGGTGCAGTGCCTAAATTGTGTTTTCTTTCTCACAGGTGCTGTACACTTTTTTGGATTACTTCAGCAAATTTGATTGGGATAATTATTGTGTAAGTTTAAAGGGACCAGTATGCATATCCTCCCTGCCTGATATAACAGGTAGGAGACGTACCTTTTGGTCTGTAAAGTCGGATTCCCTCAATCGTAATCTCACTTCCTCTCTTCCCTTTCTCCAGCTGAGTTACTGAAAAAGGAGAAGGATGATCTACTGCTAAGTGAAAATTTCCTCAAAAGTTGCCAGGACATGTTTTCTGTCTCATTCGATGGCTTTGAGACAACCCTGCGAGCATTTCCACTTAAGCATCTTAATATAATTGATCCACTTAGAGAAAACAACAATCTCGGACGCAGTGTTAGCAGAGGTGTAGCTTATGCTTTCTCTCTCTCTCTCTCTCTCTTTCTCTCTCTGTCTACCTCTTTCATTTTATTTGAGTTTCCACGGATTTTCCCTACGCTAAGCTCATCTCCTTTTTCTTTTCAAGGTTTATGAATTCTTCGTGTGGGTAAAAATATTTCTTGGGTTTATCTGCAGGTAACTTTTATCGAATATGCAGTGCTTTTAAGTTAGGGGCTCGCAAGCTGGGGTGGATTCTTTTGTTGCCTAGAGAAAGAATATCAGTAGAGCTCAAGAAGTTTTTTGCTAACACTGTGGATGGGCATGGAAACAATAGTTGGAAAAATGTGCTACATTCGACCCAAGCTTCTGGTGTTAAATGTTTTAAATGTCTATCTTATCCATCACGTCCAGAAACATTTCCTGAACAAAAAGTTTTTGTAGAACCAGCTGTAGCTTTTGGGACGCAAGCAATTAAAGTTGCGTCTGACCTCAAAAACAAAGTGAAGAGACACTTATTAAAAGAGGTTGCCTCTCATGTTGTGCCGGAATTCAGTTGTTGTCTTGGTGAAGATGTCAAAAGGCCAGAAGCTTCTGGAATATTACATACAAGATTAAAAAATGGCTCCACTGGTTATGCTGTTGGGAATAGGTTCTTGAGAACGTTAATCCCGGTGCGTTCTTACCAAGCACAACATTCTTATACATTTGGAAAGCAAAATGGAAATGGAAAGGTAGATAGCTGGAGCCCTTCTGATGAAGAACTCGCCGAATATTCTGCTCTTATTGATGAGATGAGTTTGGATTGTCCACTGGAGCACAAAGAGAAACACTTAGTCTTTAAGGATGCCGTCTGCTCATGTATTAAACATGCGGATATGGAATTTACTGATTCACTAGTCCTTGATGATGTTGTTAATGTCTCAAAAAACGTGGATCACATAGAAAAAGATGTTGCTGGCCTATTTGGTAGCTATCAAACTTTTAAGTTCTTGTTGAACCTTCGTGGGGATTATACAAGTCACTTTAGGAACCTGCAATATGGTCAGTTTTGCCATGTCTATTCCATGTCACCACCTACGTTATGCAGCCCGCCCTTGTCACTTCTGTCACAGAGCAAGAAGGTAAGGGAACCTGTTCATGAATCCTCAGCATTCGTGCACCATGTTAATCCCCAAAGTAATAGATGTGGTGTTTCTACGGGACCACATTGCTACCCTGCAAATAGCTTCAGTTTTCCTTGTGTTGCTTTTGGAGAAGAAAACAAAAAAAGACATGGAACAGGAACATACTTCCCAAATATGGTATTGACTTTATTTTCAATTGAAGACTAAATGTATCGCTGCAATCAGGAACTATAGACACCAAATATTGTGCACCAACTTAAATGTTGTAAGTTGAGATTTATCTGGCTGGAAAATTGCAATATCAGCTGATGCACAATATTTGGTTCAAGAATTTAGTGTCCCTAATATTACTAAAGTTGAATTCATGGGCCCTTAAGAGTTTTGGTGGTTTTGTTTTTTGTTGAATTATTTCCTAAGGATTACAACCATTTCATAGTTATGCTTATATATTCGCAGATCTGTCGTCCTTATCAGAATACGCGTTTTTCTGAGACGGCGAGGAATCTAGCTCTTAGAGGACATGTGCCATTGCAGAGAGATACTTGCACCAATGGCATGGATGCAGCCCCACCTGAGTTAAGCGCATCTGCTGAATGCAGGCCTGAAGTTGAATACCCAATTCTAGGCAGTGGAAAGCCCGGATCATCAGATTACTACCAATCTAATCTTTCAGTTTGGGAGTCTTTCCATTCCAATTCTTTCCACTGCCCATCCCAGAAACTTGAGCATGAGTCTCCACGCCCCCAAAAGAGTTGTGCAACACCCTTGCCAGAGTTGGATGATGGCGCCTTTCCCCGTCATGGACCTGCTTCAGCTCCCATTGCATCTCCCAAGCAGAACTGCAGAACCTTCTCGAATAGTGATCCGGAAAGGTGACAGGATTCTCTAAATCTAATTTGGATTCGCTCCACCAAAGTGGCTGTGATTTTTTGAGAATTGCTTTTGTTTCTTTTAGGATCTATATAAAGCCTTTCTTACTGTTCGGTTTCAGGGTTAAACCACAGGTATATCATCTGAAAAACGAAGATGATTTTCCCCCTCTTTCCATTTGAGCACCGTAGAAGGATGGTCGATACTTGGAAGAATTAAGCGACTGATATTAGCTCTAGATGCTAACATGGTAGCTTGTTGTTCTATGTGATAAAGAATGTATGAAAAAAGAGGGTATACTGTACATTCCTTTCCATTGTTCCATTTTCAAGATAGAACCTAATTTTGCAGCTTTCATAGTGTTAGGTAACATGTACATAGTACTGATGGGCGCACCCAAATGTGCTCCAGTTTTCAAGTTTGTAGTTCCAAGCATCCGATCTAGAAAGAGAAGCTTTATTATTTAGCACTTTTTGGAATGTGTAGATGTTGCAATGAAAGATTTTGATTAGTTGCACCATTTGGGAAGTCTTATTTTTTTGTATTTTTTATGCATGGATGTACTATACTATGAGGACAACATTAAAAACTAAGAAATCATTATGGTCATCAGTAGTAACTGATTAAAGGGTCCATGAATTTAAGCACGAGTGATATTAAAGGCTTGAAATTCATGAACCAAATATTGTCCATCAACTGACAGCCAGATAAATAACCAAATTGATGGACAATATTTGGCGTCCCGGATTGCAGTCATAATTTTTTAACAATGTCAATACCTAATTGGGGAAGTAAAAACAGAAGCTATTTGCAGGGGAATGTCGCGCTCCGATTGAACGCTGCACGACTTCCGAGGATTCATGATTGGGTTCCAATGGCTTATTGTTCTGTAACAGAAGATGACGAGCAGGCTATCCAGCTTCCTAAAGCTACTAAACATAATCCCCTCGAACATCCAACAAGTACTTAAAAGCTTGACAGCTACCAAGTATGCCAACAAAATCTTTTTTCTTTGCAATTCATGTTTTTCTAGACATTAGTAACATCACTAAGAACTTCTGAATCAATAAATTCCATATCTACCTGCGTAATGCATGCGCAGACAACATTCTTAAAGACTAAGCATTTCTCTGCGCTGGAGCGGACAATCCAATTTCATCCCGTTAACAAGAGCGAAATCTTCGGCGAGTTCTTGACCAGAATGGCTCCAGTTATCTGACTTTACATGTCCAATTTGCACTTCAAAAAATATAAGAAAATAAGGTGTCTGATAAGACCGTAATTGGGATTAAAGTACACAAGAACCAGTTCACAAGAACACAACCAATGGAATCATCTATTAAAATTGTATCTAAAAACTCTGGAACCTTCTGGCCTTTTCGACATCCCCGTCGGGACGACAGCGAAATTCCGGCACAACCCTAGAGACAACCTCGTTTAGCAAGTGTCTCCCCGGTTTGTTTCCGAGTTCAGAAGCAAATCCAATTCCTTACGTCTCAATAGCAACATTTAGTTATACAAAAATCTTTTTTCTTGAGAACATTTTTAGAATAAAAGTGATGAATAAGATAGGTATTCAAGAAACCTTAATTACACCAGAGTCTTGCAATGAATCTTGCAAATTTTTGTCAAGACTTGTTTTCATGCCTATCCGAAGTGCTAATAAAAAACTTATTGAGCTTAGCTGATATAATTCTCTCTTAAGAAACAAAAAAAAAAAAAAAAAAAAAAAAAAAAAAAAAAAAAACCCCCCCCCGAGCTCGCGAGCCACATAAATAAAACGAATATGTATTAAAACTTAAATGCCTGCAGAAAAAACCAACAATTATTAACAATTCATAAAACCTTGAAAAAAGAAAAACAAGATGAAAATAAAACATATATGATGGCCTGGCTCGTCGTTGGGTGTTGGGTGTTGGGTGCTATATAGGCTTAGTTAGTGCGAATTCTACTCCTGGTAGAAGTAGAATTCTCCAAAATTAAAAAAAAATAATAATAATAATACCAGAGGATAATTTTCTTAAAAGATAAGGTATCATAATTTAAATAGAAATCAAACTGAATAAGCTTATCTATTGAATAGAACAGAATCCTAATGAAACATAATTTCTAAATTTTATAAAACGTTTCCTAAACCAATTGACACTTCACTCAAAAACTTAAAAAAAAAAAAAATATATATATATATATATATATGTTATAAAAAAAATATGAAAATCAAAATATTCTTAAAAACTAAAGAGGACAACAAAGACAACGTAAGAAAATATGAAAGTCAAGTTGACTTTCAAATCTTTTATTCAGGAGTAATCATACAAGCTATCACAACTTCTATTTATAGGACAATAATCATAAGCAGAGATAAGATAAAAAAAAAACATAACTTATATAGGTTACACACTAAAAACGAGAGAATTACAGGTTAATAATACAGATAAATATGAGTGGAATAATATAAGTATAATGAGGTCTAAATAAAAGATTGTGTATAGGTTATGAAATATCAAGAGGTGACATCCACGCACAATTGATTTACAACATAATATAATAACTCAATATTGAAATATGATTCTAATTCTCGGAAAACAAAAATCTTGAAATATAGTTAAGTAAAATTAATACGTTGCTACTTGCTACAACTTGAATAGAGAAATTTCAGCACATAATATAAAGAACAACTATATTCAAGGCTTTCAGCAAAAGAAAAAAAAAAAAAAAAAAACCTAAATCCAAGTTTTTAAGGACAACTATATTCAACTATATTCAAGTATGGACTATGGATTCACGTTTTTAAAACAAAATACCGTTGACTAAGAAAAAAAAAAAAAAAAAAAAAAAAAAAAAAAGAGAGCTCAGAAGCGCCACCTTTCGTCACTAGGATCGGACGGTAGTGATAGACCCCTCTATCACATGAAGCGCTGGAGATTTCATCACAGCTCAAATGCACCAGCCGGGAATCGAACCCGGGTCTGTACCGTGGCAGGGTACTATTCTACCACTAGACCACTGGTGCTTCGTGCCCAATGGCTTCCCCTAGCACTTAATAAATTAAAATCATGAAATGTCCAAGATCCGCACACGGTGCATCTGCCCATCTCTCTCTCTGTTTTTTTTTTTTTTTTTTTTTTTTTTTTAAAAAAAAACGTCAGTGAGGCCCACCCACTAGCCACTGGGATTTGGTGGGATGGCGCTACCAACACAAAAGTCATTTTTGGAGGCACCAGCACTGTGGTGCTGCTTTCTTGCTTAAAACTCAAACGTAGAATTTAATCAGCATAAATATTAAATGATACATATATCCCATATTTATTCACCATAGAAATTCTAATTTCTCTGGCTGCTAATAAAGATGTCTAAATTCGATTCATCTGCCTATTTTAGTCATTTCTGAAACACTATTAAAAACAGTTCCCGTCACTAAGGTGACATAATATCTGATTTGTCCACTAAATCTCATAATAAGTTCAGAAAACTATTTTCTCCAAATCCACGTAAACGCACACAAATTATTTGAACACAGAGTTTGATTTATAGTAGGGAAA